CCAGGGATGCTGATTCAATAGGTCCAAGGTAGGGCCCAGGAATTTCCCTTTCTAATGCATTCCAGGTGATGCTGCTGCTGCTTGTCAGGGCCCATGCTTTGAGAAGCACTGACCTGAAGCATGAAGCACCTCAGTCAATAAGCAGATGGAGAAGGCTGTGTGGCTAGTGAGTGTCTAGGGTCATCCAAGTGCTTTGTGTTTTTGGGGTTTCCCCCTCTCTTTTAAAGCTTCAGGAATACCTTTCAAAGTTAGCCTTTGAGAGATTTTGGGGACTAACCAGTCCTAACAACTGACTCTTTCCTAACCTGACTGGGTAGCATATAATTAATTAGTTCACAGATAACCTAGAGACTTCATGTGAATCAGTAGCTGTAATATATTGTCCAGATAAACTGGGAAAGGGGGTGGGCAAGGGAATAGGCAGACAAACATGCTGTGTTTTCAGAAGTTCTTTCCTTTTCTAACTTGTTCCTGATTACATTAAAACCAAGAAGCAGAAAATGGTCAAGTACATGCAACTGAAAGAACTAAAGCCATGACTGAGTCCTGAGGAGGGATCCTGTCAGCTGTACCTACTACACACTGTGTGCAATTTGTGTTTGAATCCAGCTCCTCCTAGCCTCTTTCTTTCCCCTGCAGCTGGGAATCCCTAGGGCCTGCACATATCAAGTCTTTGTGTCCGTCTTCAAGTACAAACATGATCAAAAAGAGGCCCCCTCATCTTAGTTGGTGGAGCCCACAAAAGGGCAAGCAGGGAGGGATAGGTTGTACTTCAGTTCATTTTCTTCCTTAGCCCAGAGCCCTGGTCCAGTGCAGGGACTCACAAGTGACCTGGGGTCTGTAGGATCACCCCCAGCTGCCTTGTCTGCAAGCCAGAGCACCAGTCTGATCTTCCCCCAACTCCACCCTGCCTTCAAAGCCTTCAGTCATCAGCAGTTATCTGGGTCTCACAGAGTTCCAGCCCTCCACTGCCATATGGACACCTCTTATGATGTGAAACCTGCCACTCTTTCAGCCACTCTCTTGCCACCTTTGGTCCTAAATCCCAAATGTCCGCCAAATAGAGCTTCTAAGCCCAGGAATGCCCTTCCTTTATTTCTGTGTGCCTTTCCCTTAGACCTGAAAGCTCTTCCTTCCCACCTTTCCCCTGGTTTATTCAGGCCAATTCTATTCATTCTTTTGAAAAAGTGTGGGAGGTGGCCACTCTGAATGATTCCATTCTCCTTCCCTGAGAGGAGAGGCTTTGACCATCACTACATCTTGTAGTGACCTGGACATTGACCCAGTCTTGGAGGTTGAGGATGCATCTTCAGACGTAGGCGTGTCACCACATGGATTGAGCTACGCTTACCTGTTCCTTTGTGATATTACTCCTGTGCCCTGTTTGGGATAGAATGTTCCATGGAAACGCCTTTTGTGTCTCCCCTTTCTCTTTCTCTGCCTTTGGATGTGGCCTTTCTAGATGTTAGTCAATCTGCTGACAGCAGACATCACTAAGCTGGACTCAACCCTCTGAAACCTGACCCCTTGCCTCAAATTTGAATGGATTTTTCCCAATAAAAGGGTTCAGCACTTACTCGCTCTCTGTCTTTCCATGGACCCCTAAGGTCAGAGGAGCTTTCACAGGACCCCAAAGAAAAAGGTATTTGTCTGTCTCTGTGTGGTTATTTTGTGCAGCCCATTCCCCCTGGAGTGACCTTGAGTGTTTTAGTCGTGAAGAATGCGACAAAAAAGAATTTCATGTGAGAGAAATACTTTTTGTTTGAAATCTTAGAAAATACAAAGAATTGTGGGGGAAATGTGCATCAAAACAATACCCATGTTTCATGCTCCCCTCCAGAACCCTCCACTTACATTTTGATTTTTTTCTTTCTCTCTCTCTTTCTCCCCACCCTCAACCCCAACACTAGGGATTGAACCTAGGCCCTCCCACAGGCTAGGTAAGTGCTCTACCACTTAGCTATATGCCTAGGACATTTAAAAAATTTCTTGGGACACGTTCTCGCTAAGTTGCCTAGGGTAGCCTTGAACTTGCACTCTTCCTACCCCAGCCTCCTCAGTACTTGGGGTAACAGGCATGCACCACCTGTTCTGCTCATGCTTAATTTTTTCAAGGTATTTCTATGCATATATGTTTATGAGTTATAATTTAAATTGATGTATCATGCCCTTTTCACTTAGTACTACATTGTAAGCTGTCTTCTTAATGTTTGTAACTATTATATTGTAAGCTCTCTTCTTAATGTTGTATTTGAGAAAAAACTTTTTAATGGCCACATGTTTCTGTGCATATATATTATATAAAAATAAACATATCTGAACATTTGTTTACTTTACCCATTTTCAAGCTATCTTCATTCTTTTGCTTTTATAAATAAGGCTACCAAGAAAAGGTTTGTACATGATTCTGACAGCAACACTGATTATCCTCTAGGAGAATACTCTAGAGTGGAATTACTAGAACAATATAAAGGAACACTTTAACTCCTATTTTGCACTAGAATATGAATGTCCATCTTTCAATAACCTCTGTTTTTTTATGAGACATTTTTGTTTTGGACTTTGGTCTTTGATAATCTGACTTTGTTTTTTGCATTTGTTTGATTAGGCTGGATATTTTTTAGCATTTATTAATCATATATGTTTCCTCATATCTCTTGTAAACTCTTTGTGTGTCTTTCCAGTTTTCATTTCGAGTCAGTCAAATTTTTTACTCATTTTCAATGCTTGACTGAAGTGTCTTTCCCCTGTGAAGTTCTCCTGTCAGCCCTGTGTGTCACCCCTGGTCTGGTGTGTGTGCACCTACTACTAAGAATTTCTACACTGCCTTACAATTATTTGCAATCCTTTCTCCCGGCAGTGTACAACCCAGCAGTTGGGGGCCAGGACTGAGTCTTATTTTCCTCAGCACCTAATCAGTAGCTTGACACAAAATCTGTGTCAACTTAATGAACTAATGAATAAATCAATGAATATTACTGCAGAGTAGGATTTAACTTGACATGGATTTCATCAGGATGATATATGGACATTTCATATGAAACCATGAGGAGCACCAAGTCCTTGGATAAACCATGAAAATTTGTTATGGTAATATAAATTATAACAGGATAGGATATAAAAATTCACATTATTATACTACTAGAGATAGCAATATTGCTGGCAACTGTTTGCTACAAATAGAAATCACAGCCCTTTTAAGAAAAGTAATTACTTGAGCAAAATATTTAAAAATTATGTTTGTTGATTTATTTAGGATCTTATCAAATTTTCTGAACAATTATCATAACACATTTTTCAAAAGGAGAAGACAAAAAGATGTACTTCCTCTGACCAAAAAAAAAATATATGAACACACACACACACACACACACACACATGCACACACACATATACACATTAAACATACAAACAAAAGCTAAACTTGAAAAACAACTGAATTTCTTCATCATGTCATACTCTCAAATTATATTTCTGATATTCCTAATTTGGTTTTTTTTCACAGTTTTGCTATACAAAAAACAAAAACAAAAACGTATATTACCAGGTTAATACCATCTCTGAGATGTGGGCAAAACCAGAGGTGAAAAAAAGGAAGTTACTGCGAAGTTGGAAACCAGGTAAATACTTTTGTCCCCAGGAGGGATTGCTGGCTGGAGGTCTCAGCTTTCCACCTCAGAGTCCAAGTGTGCAGGGGTACAAAGGAACTCCAGAGATGCTGGATCCCCTCTAGTTGGTTGTTGTCGCCTCCCCCCCTCCCCAGTTGTTTTACCCAAGGTGACAGTGCGGGCTGCATGTGGGGCTGAGTCTCTGATTCAGCTACAGCTGTGGTTCCCCACTTTGCCGTTCTGGTCACAGTTTGGCTAACCTTTGTAAACTTCTAAATGTCCAACTAAAGTGCTTGATTGAGCTCCTTCTGAGCTGTGTCCTGTTTCAGTTGTGAAAGCACAGCCCACAGGAGCCTCAGTAACATTTTGCTGTCTCCATAAGAGCAGAAAGTGGTCTTTATAGGAAGGTGTTATGGCCATGGCCATTAGCTTCAACTGAGGCTGGCTGAGTCCCCGTTCCTCTATGCAAATGCCCAGTTACTTCACGCAGCCGAACTCAGTTAACACAGCTCTCTGGTAAGTCACACATCAGTATTTGTCCAAGAAGCATAGTAAATCCTACCCCCAAAGAACCCATCAATATGATAAGCCTCTAAATGGAGTTTCCAAAAGTGGAAGAACATAGTGTGCCCACTCTCAAATATTGATTCCTACTGATACCCCTGCCTCAATACTAAAAGGCTAGATTTCAAAAGATAATATTTTCTTGTCTGAGTTGTGGGCCACAGTCAGATATTTCTTCCCATCTACTTGTAGCTTTGCATCTTCGCCTGAACACTAAGTACCCCTAAATGGTGGCTCGGGAAGACCCCTCCAAATGCCTAACCTGGTCATATTCCCACATTGAGAAACATCTATGATTCAAGCTTTGCCTAGACCAATTGGCCAGGATAATAACTAAACAGGGGGTAATAATGAGATAAAATAATTCAGGGATCACTGGAAATGAATAGGGTAAGACATTGATATGCTTTTTAAAGAACATTTATCACATAATTTTAAATAGTGGTGTTTCTACTATATTTAAATAAAGATCTATAGGTTTCTTGTAAAAAAAAAATTAGGGGCACCAGATACAAATGTTGGAACAATTAATATCATTGTTATAAGACAATTAACATTGCTTAAAACATACAACATTTTAGTTGTTGTTAATAACACAAAATGAAAAAAAATGTACTGAAATGGTTCTTGAATACAGAGTGGCAACATATTTTCAAACTATATCAAATACTTCTGAAAATATGTTTCAATGCTTTTGTTATGGGAGATAAAAATCTTTAAGGATTTAAGGGTTTTTTTGCTTTTTTTTTTAAATCATGGGTCTGAAACTGATATATTTTTGCTTTTTTAAAAAATCTTTATCTGAAACTGATATATTCTCCAACTTACCAGATATTGTAAGCTTCTATCACAAACTGGATTCCACATTAGTTTGATAGGAATGGCTCTGCCAGTTTCTATACATAAGAGGTCTTATGAAAATCTTGTGGAAAAACATTCGAAATACTGAAGTTCTGAATATGATGAAAATCCATGGGTCCACAATTGAAATCACAGACAGGAAACGCAAGGCTAGAAGATCGTCCGATTCTTCAGTGGCATCCTGGACAGCTCCATAGTAGGAACGATACTGTTTGAAGAAAAACATTCCATTATGATATTGGAAGGTTGGTGACAGCAATTGATTCACTTTATGTCACTTACCTTTCTGTAAGAACATGGCAGCTTAACTTGGAATACTCATTTTTGGTAAATTTATAAGTAGGTGAGGTCACTGAAGCTGACAGGTGTTAGTGAGGAGTCTGAGAGATGGAGAAACTGAGGAGTATGTAGGAGACCTGGTTGATGGACCCCCTGTGGCTGTTGCACTTGCCATGCTCTGGTGTCTAGGTCCCAGCCAGACCATGAAGACCCACTGACAGCTTTCACATACAGGGTCACCACGCTTCCATAAATACAGTCTCTCCAGCTAGTATCTTTACTCCTGTATTTTATTCAATTCTTTCTTCTCTACCTGCTTCCTGTCCTCTCTTATCAGTTTGCTTAGAAATAAGTCACACTTGGAAAACATCACCTATATCAAAGCATCAATAATACTGAATCAATGTGAAGAGACAGGAAATACAACAATGAAAAGACATAAGGTGACTTGAAAAAGGAATAGTTCACCTCATGTGCTCACCTCAGTGTCCTAGTTCTCCTTGGTATAGATTGCTATCTTTCTGTGGTTGACATTCTCTTTTCAAGATAGGGAGGAAAAACGTGCAAAAAAAAAAAAAAAAAAAAAAAGCCTACTTACCTGTGTCTAGCTACCTATTGTCTTGGTCTTCCCTGAGGTCCTAAAGCCTCCTGGAAACCCTGCAATGTGCCTCAGACCACAGCTCTTCCTGCCATTCAACCAACACTGTCTAGATCAGTACTGCCATTGCTTCCTACTCAGGCTGAGGCTGGCCACCTGTTCTTTTTGCCATTATACACCCTATGCCTCCGGAGATTCTAAATCCATAATGAGGCAAATGGACCCTAATGGAATGGAAACTATGCAAATGCAGTATTACTAGAAAATGATATGGATAAGTGCAGAATGGACCTATTCAAGGGAATCAAAGAGCATCTCCTGGAGAAGATGCTTCTTCCCATAACAATTACCTTGCCTTTTCAATACTGCTCAATGGAGCATTTCAGTAGGCTCAGCCACCCCAATCTAGTGCACTTTAGGAAAATGCCCTACATTGGACTCAGCTGTTACTTACATCTCAATGCCTTCTTCCATAACTATTGCTTAATAACACTAATAGCAATAATAATGACTAATGCCCACATAAAGCCTACTGTTCCTGGGCACAGTTCTAAGCACTTAAAAAAATTCATCTTATCTTTAGCCCTCCCACCCCCCCAAAATCTATGAAGTACAGTCATTATCCCTATATTACAGATATGGAAACTGATTATATACTCAGATCATACCTTCCTTCAAGGTCTACCCCAAATATTATACCCTTTACAAAACTATCTGAGGTGGTAGCTAAGCCCACTCCACTTTAGGGTCTGTCTGGATTAGAATCCCCTGATGTGTGACTTCAGGGAAATTACTGTTTCCTCATATTTACAGTTGAAATTATTGTACCTACCTTCTGAGCGATTTTTGTGAAGTCTGAAGTGAGATGGTATGAGGAAAACCTTGAGCTCAGGATCTAGTATATAAGACTCAATAATTAGCTAATATTATTTTTTTCAGTTTGGAGTGTCTCCTGTCCTCTGCCAAACTTCCCTATGGTCCCAATCATCGATTTAGGACTTATGTAGTTGCATGTGCCATTTTTCTCATTTTATATCTCCACAATGAACTACAGAGTGTCTTGGATTTCTATATACCAGATGTGTGCTGAATGAATATGTGGATGATAATAAACTCTACGACTAAGTTGATTTTAAAAAGCAGTTGACATGAGTTTGTTTTTACATTTGCCCCATTCTCTTCAAAGTGGAGTACAGCACAATGTAATTCCAATAATGCAAGAATGCTTGATTAGTGGGATCTGGGTAACTGAATGATACTCTTATAATTACAACAAATCATTTTATTTCTATGCAGTGTTTGCCATGTCAGTTCTATTAATGTATCAGAGGGAGAGAAAGAGAGAAGGGAGGGAGGGAGGGAGGAAAGGGGGGGGGGAGGAAGGGGGAGGGAGGGAGGAAAGGGGGGAAGGAGAGAGTGTGTATGTATTGCTGGGGACTGAACCTATGACTGCACACATGCTAGGCCAGTGCTCTACTACTAAGCTACACCCCTGCTGGGTTATCTGTGTTTTCAAGTCACTAGATTTGTATTAGAAGAATGTTGTTCTACACCTGGCATTTTAAAAGTGGTTCAATTATATAAAGACAGCATGAGACGACTACCTTCTGATGGAGATAGGAGTCATTGAGAAAATGTTGTCATTGCCAACCAGGAGGAGACTTGGCAGGCCATGTCTGCTGGAGAGGTCTCCATCTGATGACCTCTTCTACCCAGTTCATCATCATAACACCCTAGTATGTGCCTTCCTCTCTAGCCCTTTAATCTACTTTAACTCCTTTCCTCTGGGCCCTTCTTTTGTCTCCCATCCCTTATATGTTTCTAATCCCCCCTTTGAAAGGAGCATCTCATTTATTCTTTCTGCCACCAAAATGGCATACACACAAGATCTGTCTCAATGCATGCAGGATGTCCTCTACCACTTCTCCGGTTCCATGGATTCTGGAAGAAATAATCACACAAGCTCGTATTTATCGTTATCCAGCTTTTAAACTGCTCAAGAGTTATAACTCATTTCTACGTACACACCCCCTCTCATCCATCTCTGCTCCCCCTCCAACCTCCAATATATTGTGGTTTTCTAAGATAAAAAGAATCTGGTGAAAGTATATTATACACATTAGAGAATGTGCTGCAAACTGCCTCTAAAGCTCATTCCATATTCTGTATATTTCCTGCTGTACAAAATTGCAAATTTGAAAATTCAATCTACTCATTTTACTCTAATCCAGCAATATTGTGAAGTGAATGTTAAAAATCATACTCAAGATTGGGGTGAGAGTGTAGCTCAGTGGTAAAGTACTTGCAGAGCATGCTTGTGGCCCTGGGTTAATCCCCAGCACTGGAAACAAAAAATTTTTCACTGGCCTGATGAAATACAATAATTATGTTACGAGTAAGTTGGATATAGGCTTATTTTTCTAGTTGCTAGTTCCATTCCTTGGATGAGTGGTTTTCAAGTGTGAGGTCTCAACCCATTGAGTGTGGCAAAGAAGTCAAAACTTTTCATAAAACTGTTATTTATATTTCTCATTCTCATTCTGTAGAAGGTGTGCAGTGAATTTTATGGAGGTTGTATAACATGTGATGACATCACCACTTCTGTGGCTAATGGCATTAATCTGTGCTTGTGTATTTTTGGGTTTTTTGGACCTTTCTAGATTGAGAGTACACTTGTGTATTTTCAGAGATTGTTTCTAGTACTTCTTACTTTTAATACGCTTTTTTGTTTTACTTGCTATAATCGCTATAACTTTATATCATTCACTAAGTCATTTTGAAATCTCAATGCTTTCCTTGAACCAGTACTAAAACATGAGAAGTAGACTTTGATATCTTCTTTGCAATAGTATTTTTAAAAATTCTTAGTTTTAATATCTTATATGATAAATACTGATAGATATTATCAACATAAATAAAAACCCTCTGGGTTTCTATGATTTTTTAAGAGTATAAAGGGGTACTGAAATCATAAAGAATTTGAGAACCATAACCTTAGACTATAACACTATTTCCCAAGCAGATTATATCTTTTGATTAATTTGCTATATCCAGGAAGCAATAATAAGAAATGTAAGCTATAATTAGTAATAAGAGTAATGTTAATTATTGAACAAAGGCACTGGTTTGGGGACACACACACACACACACACACACACTCATACTGTACATGCTATATATCCCTTATTTAAAATGCTTGAGACCAAAATTGTTTCAGATTTAAGATTTATTTATTTATTTATTTGGATTTTGTAGTATTTGTATATAGATAATGAAATATCTTGGTGATAGAAGTCTAAATGAGATTTTCATTTGTTTCATATGGACCTTGTACACTTAGTTTGAAGGTAATTTTATACAAATTTTGAGTGTGCCAGAGTTTTGACAACAAACTGTCACATGAGGTTAGGTGTGGAATTTTCCACTTGTGATATCATGTTGATTGTCAGAAGTTTCAGATTTGGAGCATGTGGATTTTGGGATTAGGGATGTTCCACCTGTGTGTGTCTGTGCATGTGTGTGTGTGTGTGTGTGTGTGTGTGTAATTTCAAATCTTCATATCTATCTTACAGAAAACAGTATGATTATTTTTATTTTACAGATGAGAAAGCTGACATTAGAGGATAAATAAGTGCCAATCCTTGCCAGTAAGTAATGAAGCCTGATTCAAATCCATGTCCTACACCAAAACCCTTGTCCTTTCTAGAAAACGATGATTCTTGTGAAGAATTCTATCAATATTACACATATTTAGAACTTTAAAAATTTTTTAGCAAAATCATCTTCAAGTCCATTATTTTTTTGCTTCTCACTAAACTTATATGAGTTATTCAAATCTCCTTAGAGACATGTCCAAATGCAATGCTCTTACCACTGTATTATGTTGCTTTCTGTGTTATTTTTACTATAACATTCAAACTCAGGTCAAAAATTTCATGGTTTGGCTAATGTCTGCTTTATCAGAGCCTAGGTTAAGTGGGATTTCAACTAAGGTGGTCTGCAAACATTTTCTATAAAGGACCAACCAATAAATATTTCAGGCCTTAAAGACCAAGAGGCAAAATCATTACCATGTGGTAGTACCAAGATAATGAGAGAGAAAGAGAAAATACATTTCCACAATTTTTATTGATGACATTCAGGATGCAATAATAATTTTTTAAATACAAATTTACTATGGAGAAGAATAAAACTTTTTAATGGAATAGTATTTGGCTTAGTTGGGACTTAAAGGTCTTGGTTGGTTGCAAATATTCATTGGTAAGAACTATTATTAACTTCAGGGCTATACATAAAATAGCGGGCAGGCAGATTTGGCCCGTGGGCTTTTGTTTGCCAACTTCTGTTTAGAATGTGGTTCCACCAATGCCATCCCTGAACCAGCAGTTTCAGCTTCACCTGGAAACTTGTAAAGAATAAAAATTAGGGCTAAGGATGTGGTTCAGTGGTAAAGCACATGTCTAGCATGTGTGAGGTTTGGGTTAACCCCTTGCTTTGGAAGAAAAACAAAATAAAATAAACATTTTTTAAAAACCTAAAAACATCCTAAAGGAATCCTGGGGGTGTGGGACCCAGTAATCTTTCTTTTTACAGCCTGCTGATGATTCTGAGCATTCTAAAGTTTGAGAACCATTGCTGTATCTATCTACTACGTCTACCTCTGCCTTTTTATGTAGACATTGACTGATTGATTGATGGAGTTCTGATCCTAATCCTGCATGATAGTGCTACAGGTTATGCATCCTCCACACATTAAGACCTTCATTTAAAGGAAAATCTCTTTATGTCTCCCTTTGATTCCCCATTGAAACTAACATCCAGAATTGCTATATCCTGGTAAGAAATTTAACTTTCCTAGTCCCATAAGTCTCTGATTCCAAAGACTTTGAACTGGCTATGTATTGTAATTTATTCAAATATAGTTTTTGCTAAACAGGTACATTGGAGGTGGGAGAGAGGGGGAGGAGCTATGCTGAAAAAGTCTTCTCCTATGCCAGCCACTTCTAGGTGTCTGGGCCCCCAGGAATGAATACCCTAAAAACGGGGGGTAATTCAAACCCTCAGTAACTTAAAACCCAAGATAATGGCCTTCATGCCAACTCACGTGCCAGAATAGAAACAAAACCTGTCAAGGCAGGTTGTCAAAACGACACCACCAGCTGCAACCACATACAAACAGCCTCTTAGCCTCTACCACACCTCCTCCCGCGGTGGCACCAGAAACAGTTGCAACAGAGCATCCAAGTTCACTCAAACTAAATCTGCAAGCCAATGGGGAAGAATTAAACTGTCCCTTAGTTCCTTTCCACCCCAACACCCAGAAAAGAACCCTCAGACGCCATTCGTCCATTTCTTACACCATTAAAACCATGAGCACATCTAAAGAAATAAAACTTCACCTAGCCTTCAGGAAAAGCAGAGGAACCGTATTGTCACGGAAAGGCCAAACTTCTCCAAGGTTTGAGGGATTTTTGTCCCTGAGAGCTCCCCAGAGGGAAGCAGACAGGAGGGAGTCCTGTCACAATGGAAAGGATTTTGCTGGGTCATGTCTTCTTTCCCTTTTCCTGACCTTCCCTCTTCTCGTTCAGCGAATTGGACTTTATCTTAGGGCTGTGGAGGGAATCCGACTTGAGGAGCACAGTGACAAACCCTCCTGGCCCAGGACGCAGATCCTCTTGTGCGGGCACGGGGTTCACCGGGTTCCACCCTTCCAGCCCCGCACCAGCAGCCCAGCACGCCCCAGTTCCCCACAACTTTGCTCCCAGCTACTCACAATTAAAGGCACAGAGCACATAGTGAAGAGCACTGTCATGAGGGCCAGCAGCAGGAGGTGATCCAGCTCCTCCAAGGGATGTGAGGATGCCACCTTCTTTCCCGCGCCTGGCTCCGCGATGTCCCTGAGTCCACAGCGCGTGTGTCGTCTCAGTCGCTGGTGCATAGTGTAAAGGTTGCGCATCGCCCCAAGGTTGCACAGAACGATGGCAAGAACCACCAGCGCCATGAGCGTGGAGTAGAGAACAGAGTAGACCACCACCCAGATCGAGTCATCGCGGACCATCCGGATGAAGCACCAGGTGCCTGGGCAGTACTGAATGAACTTCCCGAAACCCATTAAGGGCAGTGCGCAGAAAGCCAGGCAGAATGCACCCACCACCGGAGCCACGAGTACGCCCCGGCGTAGGGTGATGTGCCTTTGGTAGAAGAAGGGGTGCCCCAGGGAAAGCCAGCACTCCAGAGCCATGGCCAGGAGCTGTAACGTCGATGCGAGCCCAAAGAAAGACATGAAGAAAGCGAAGGTTTGGCACAGTGACTCGTCACCGGACGCAGGCATTAGCCCTCGGAGGCTCCGATTTTGCGCATAGGCAGCCAGAACCACCGGGCTTATCAGGCACTTGCCCAGCAAGTCGGTGATGGTCAGGCCGCACACCAGCACGTAGAATACCGAGGGCGGCGGGCGCGGCGGGCGCGGTCGGCAAGACCCTAGCCCTGAGCGCGCCAGCAGCCCCAGGGCCAGCAGGTTGCCCAGGAGGCCCGCACTAAACAGTACCCCGCCCATCGTCGCTGAGTTGCCTTTCTCCACCGAGGTGGTGTTCTGACATGGATAGAAGGGAGACTTCATGGTGGGCGGGCTCGAGTGGAGGCGGTGGGAGGGCGTGAGCCCCGGTGCCCAGGTGCCGAGAAGCCCCCGGCGATTCCCCGCGCAGCTCTGGTGAAGAGGCTGAACTGTAAAGGAAGCTCTGCAGGCGGCAGGGTGTTCCCCCACAGTAGGCGCCTCCTATCTAAACTCTCCGGTCACACCCTTTTTCGAGGGCGGGACGCGCCTCTCGGTGAGCACTCGCGGCTATTCCAGAGCTTGGAACAGCGGAGCTAAATGCTCGGCCCTGATGCGTGGGGTACTGAGGAGAAACACATCTTGGTACCCAGAAATCAGAAGGAAAGTAGCCAGAGTCGGAGCAGTCAAGACTAGTCCTCCAGGTCAGGCAAAAGAACTACTGAAAGGGAGGGGAAATGTAAGCAGGGCGCAAGGCGGTAGCGTTGGTAGAGCTCCAATGTTGGCCAGGAACTCAGAAAAACCAGCTGGCTAATCCGGAGGCTGAAGTGGAAGGCTCACTTGAAGCTGAGAAAAGGCTACTACCTAGTTTTCTCAGATCAGTCAGTGTCTTAAGGAGGGTCAAAGGTAATTAACATTTGCTGTACCTTGGTTCCTATTCGCTTCTAGATCTCTGGGATGTGGAGCACTACAAGGATCTGCACCTGATAGGTGAGAAACCCTGGCCTTGGAAGTTTAACTGATCTGCCCAAGGTGACAGCGGCAGTAAGTGGCAGAGCTTAACCTGGAACCACCTTCCATTTATATTACAGAGTTCATCTGTCATGCTTCCATGGCCCTCCTCCCAAGAGACTAGCCAAATTTCAGAGCAAGTTTTTTTTTTTTTTCCTGCACAGGGAAAAGAAAGAAATGATATTGGTCTTAGGTACCATAAATCACAGTAGCTGTGTCCACAGGGTGGGAGGATGTGGCTTAACAGGATTCACACTGTCATCAGATAGGCCTAGGTTCAAATCCTGATTCTGCTACTTATTGTCTGTGTGAACCTGAGGGACTTGCTTAACCTCACAAGCAGTGTCATCCATCAAGCTTGCTTGACTCTTTTAAAAGATAGAGATAATAGAAGTAAAGCACAGCCTCATAGGAAGTGCTCAGTGTGTGCAGATGCCACGATTCTCATGTGATGGAAGGGTGTTTCAGTAGCCAATAGTTAACTGAAGGTTTTAGCATGGATTTGGAAACCAGAAGATAGTAGACTTAGTTTAAAGCTTTCTGGCTTTTGTCATTTGTGACTACTAGGACACATTTCTTCCCTTCTGGACTTGGCTGCACCAAAAAGACAAGGGATTATTTAGCTATGATTTCTTTATTTAATTAACTTTCAATATCCTGAAACAGAAATTGGCTTTGAGTGTAGAATTTGAGTAGGATGATTGGGGCCATATTATATAAGCAAGCAGATTATTCCTTGGCCCTAAGAGTCTCATTTTTGGGCTCCTTGCCTGTTCTGATGGACAGAGTCAGGGAGAGGGCAGGGCCCTGGGGCTTCTGATATGTGAACCTCACTGCTGCAGAGAAACTGCCTCTAGACTGAAAGCTTAGCCAGTAATTCAGGCCATAGCTTAGAGAGGAAGAATCCAAGCTTTGGAATTAGATAGTTCTGAACTCTACCACTAGTTGTGTGACCTTAGGTTAGTGACTCAATGCCTCTGAGTTTTAGTTTTTTTATACATATAATATGGGACTTCTGTGTCTTGTTGCATTGTTGTGAGACTGAAAAAAAATTTAAAAATGAAGCGCTTGGCATAGAGAAGTAATAGTAATAACATTTATGGACCCTTTCATATGCTGGCTGCCAAGACTTTTACAGCCTTGACTTTACAGAAGATTCTGCATAGGGTTAGCTCCCTTGACTTCACCCTCTCTTTAGTTGAGAAGTAGAAGGAGGAGGAGGCCTTTTCATCAAAAGACATGAGAATCTGATGCAAGCTGAGGTCTTCTCTCCAACTATGCTGAATTAAGAAACATACACACACACACACAGACACATACACACACAATTTACATGGATGTCAGCTGTTCACAGTTTCCTGAAGTCCCTCTGGTATATCCAGAGAAGATCCAATGGATCTAATGTAGAAATCCTTCCCCTAAGGACGTTACATGGGTGGTCTCCTGAAGCATACCTACTTCAATTATTTGCAGTTGTTTTTACTACAGCTGCTTCCATTTCCATATCCTTCCCAGGTACAGTGCATAGGGAGAGAGGAGCCCAAGGATATAAACAACTTTTTAAAAACAATCCCAAAATGTGACTGTTGGGCAAGTTGTGGGTTCCTGACATCGTTTACATATGTCATTCTTCAAAGGTTGAAGGTTTGAACGGGTTTAATTCAGGAAACCACGTGTTTCCTCCTGGCCAATTTAGCTGGCCTTTACCATGAGGTTTCCGGCTGCCTTTCCTGCCTGCTTTGCTGTGGTCCACCCTACTCTGTTTTCAGACTTTGGAGTCTTCTGTCCCTGCTCCTAAGAAATCTTATTTTATAACTTCACTGTAGAGCTAAGGATAGCATCATTTGTCCATGCATCAAATATTTTTTGAGTTCTTACTTGTGCTAGGCACATGGATGAAGAGAGCAGATACTTAGGAGTATATAGCAAGTAAGGAAAGACAAATGTCATGTCATGTGCCCTTTACAGGCTTATAAATTTTACTATCAGCTTTCAGGATAATGAGGCTATGCTTTTTTTCCCCCTAAGAGAAAAACTTTTAATGAAAATATTTCAAAAGACATGAGAATCTGATGCAAGCAGATTAGTAAAATTAGTAATAGTAAAATTGCCTCCATTACCTACAGAGCAATACCAGGGTGCTTATTTGGGTTATAAAACAAATCTAGAAAGATATGTATCATGTTAACAGACTATTGTAAATATATAATTACATGTGTAAACAACAACATCAACAACAAAATCCTCATAGGCTCATGGACTAGGTCTAGAAATTGACATAGGTAAAAGAAAACACTGACTTAAAGTGGAGAAAGGATGGTAGAAAATTTTCACCTTGGATTCCTGACATTTTTATATAGTATCTGCAATAATTACTTTAAAAGATTTTAAAGCTGGGTGCAATGGTGGATGCCTGTAATCCCATAACTTGGAACTGAGGCAGAGGATCTCTTGAGACTAGGAATTCAAGACTAGCCTGGGCAACATCTCAAAACAAACACAAACAAAAATATTTTAAACATAAAACAAGTTATGCTCATGGCCAGGGTTTGGGAAGAGGGAACGAATGAAAAAAGAGTGTTTTTCTTTTGTTTTATTTTGCGAAATCTGCCTATGCTTCTAAATCTTACCCTGCATTCCTACTGAATTCCCAGTGATATCTGGGGATATCACTGATATCCCCAGGATCAGGAAGTTAAAAGCAAAGAACAAAATTAGTTCCCAAGTATGAAGCACCTTCTGCATGCTAGAGAAGATGTTAGATTCTTCATAATCACAGATGGGGTGGAAGCACAGCAGTGTTGGGAGGTGTATAAGGTCTTGGGAGTTATCCTTTGTGAATTCAATCCCAACTTTGCCCTTTGCTATTGTTGAGTGATCTTCTAATCTTTCAAACCTGTTTCCTCGCCTGTAACAATGGGAAGTGGGAGAAAACTGTACTGAACTCATAGCATAGTTGTGTGAGTTAAATAAAATAATCTGTAGATGGCAATACTTATCAACTTGAGAACATTTAGAATCACCTGGAGAGCTATAAACACATCTCTACTTCAGGCTTCATTATTTTTCAAAGTTCTTCAGTTAATTCCTCTGCACCGCTAAAGTGAGGACCACTGGACTAGAATGTCAGCCACAGTGCTAGGACATTCTCTGCATGGCTCTATAAATGTGGCTAATGCTTCCAACTATGCTGCAGATATTTTCTTCATCTCTCAGTTTTTGAATAAGGGAAACAAAATACAGACAGATTAACAAACTGATCGAATTCACATCACTAGTATGTAATGAGACAAGAATGGCATCTGGGTCTTTTTGATTCCTTAAGTCTTTACTTTGAAGAAGAGTGCAAACAATGAGAGGGTTAGACAGAAAGAGGCAGCCTGTGATTTGCTTTATCTGCTCAGAAGTTGGGAGGCAGAGCTACCACCAGGGTGAGGCTGTGTACTGGTCCTCTGGGGTCACATAGTATCTTTGGTTAAGTCTGCACAAATGTCATTTTGGCATCTGCTAAAATTTTATGGTTGTTTCATAAAGTTTTCATTTTCTCTCTTATGATTTCTTCTTTTGGGGGTCCCCCCTTCAAATTTTTGTCTGGCAAGAATTGCCATTTTTATATCTTTTGCAGCCAAACCAAGAGATTAAGTCCTCCATAGATTCTGGAGAGTGGCCATGTCTTCTGCTGACACATGTTTAAATCAGGATCAGGATCTCTATATGTTTAGGACTTGGACAGAATGTACTTTCTGTTTTTAACCTGGCTATAGCTTAAACCCTCAGGATCAGAATGGAATTTTGAGAAGGAACAGAAAGAAGCAAAGTTGAGAGAGAAGTTGGGCTGTGATAGTTCCAATGAAAGGCTTTGGGCTGGGAGCATGTAGCTCAGTGGTAGAGAGCTTGCCTACCATGATTGAGTCCCTGGGCCCTGACCCAGTACCATAAAAAGAGAGAGAGAGAGAAAAAGAAAAAGAGCAGGTGACAACCAACAAAAGACATTAACTAACCCAACTGAAAGCTCAGATGCTGACAGGGCCCTTCAGAATTGTCATGAGTCAAGAGTGAAGGGACTGGGATCTTATGCCTAGGATAGGATGGATATTGGGGGTTGGCTGTCCCAGGGGAGGTCACAGGCCTCTGGCATTAGTCATTCTCTTAGGCAAGGCACTAACTGGAGGGGCTGACAGTGGAAGGATTCTGCCTGCAGCCTGGGGAGTAAGTTTTTATTCCTGATTGGGATCTGGCTGGCATATCACAGGGTCCAGTAAGGAGTCAGTGTTGGTGACATCTCAGCTGAGACCCAGATGCAGCAGAATCTTAAGTTCCACCATCTCTACTTCAGGTTTGAAGGAACCTCTCTAAGCACCTTTCTGGTGATCTCAGGGAAATAAAGCCAATGCCTAGGGCACAGCATTCCAAAAATACACAGACAGACAGACATATGTATCTGCAAATACATACATACATACATACATT